GACTCCTGTGTTACTGACTGCCTGATGTAAGTTCTTTAATGGCCCAGACTTCCTCAACTGTCAAAAGGGAGAACTTGAGGGCTGGAGGTGTGGCCCAAATAGTAGAGCTTCTGTCTAGCAAATATGAAGCCTTGAGTTCAAACCCCACTACTGAAAAAAAAAAAAAAAGAGGAACTTTAGAGTGTGGTCATTCAATCACCAAGTGTCAGTTAGGATTTACTGAGTGCTTCCAACGTGCAGGGCCTCTCCTGAGCAGGCCACATGGGGATTTCATTTAAGGATAGGAAATGCTCCATTTCATCAGACCCATGAGCACCAAGTATTGCGGAGCTGGGCACAGTGGCAAATGCCTGTAATCCCAGCACTGGGGGGACCAAGGCAGGAGGCTCGAGAGTTAAATGTTCAAAAACAACCTCCTCCTACCCTCCCCCCAAACAAAATTCCACAAACCTTTGCTAATTTGATGGGTAAAAGAATGGTCTCTCCAACTTCTTCACCTTTCATCCCCTGTAACTCAAAGCCACCCTATGAGAGAGACATCCTCAGCCTCCTTTCACACGTGAAGGAAGGGGTCTCAGAGGATGGAGGTGACCCTGAGGAAGGAGCAGGGCTTGGAGGAATAAGCCAGCCTTGATTTGAATTCTGTCTCTCCTCTGTGTGACCAGGGACCTGCAGGTGGGTGACAGGCAGGCCTGGGATGCAGGCTGGCTGGGGTGTGAATCCACAAAGTGGAGGGGAACAGGGTGGGTAGAGGCCAGGACCAGTGATTGGGGTTTTTCTTTTTACCTCCTGCTTCTTCCATTTCCCCCTCCTCCCAGACGTGTTCTAGAATATGGCCAGGCAGATGACAGTCTGGATGCTTGATAACTCGAAGGGCTGGTAACTTTGGGGCCGTCCTCCTGTGTAGCCTCCTCAGCCCAAGCAGAAGCACACTGCCTCTATAGCCAGGGCCCTGCTTCCAGCTTGCCACAGTCCTCACCACTCCCTATCATTAACCAGCTCTGTCCCGTGGTAACCTCCTACACTCCTCCAGGTACTTGAGTTTGTGTCTGATAGAAAGTCTCCTTCCACATCCATTGCTGCACAAAAATGGGGTTTGTGAAATGTCAAAGAGGGTTCTTAAATGTTTTTGCTGTTGTGAACGTGATTCTTCTACTTTCTCCTCCCCAGTAGCTGGATTACAGGCATTTCTTACCATTTTGATGCATGCACTTTCAGCTTTCTTTGTTGATATAGATTTTAATTTTTTATTATAAATTTTTATTAGGATATATCCATTATGTGGGGGTATTCATAGTGACAATTTGATTAGACTTACATTGTACATTATTCACATCGCCCCCATCGTCTCTCCCCCTCAGCCCCCTCCTCATCCGATATAGATTTTTTTTTCAGTACTGGGATTTGAACTCAGGGCCTTCACCTTGAGTCACTCCACCAGCCCTTTTTTTGTGATGGTTATTTTTGAGATAGGGTCTTTCGAACTATTTGCCTGGGCTGGCTTCGAGCCTCCTGTGTAGCTAGGATTACAGGCGTGAGCCACTGATGCCTGGTATAGATTTTAACTGACACGACATCAATATGTAGACTCTTATAGCCTGTCTAAAACATAGAAATTGATTGCGAACGTCCCCTTGTCACCGAGTGTATTTCACAGCATTTCACTGTGTGGGCTGTGTGCCATGGTTTATCTTGATTGTTTCTATTTTTGGCTACTTGGACAATTTTCAGTTCCTTGCTATTTTGAACAGTGTCTCAGCAAACATTCTTGGACTTACATCTCTGCTCACCTGGGCAAATATTTCCTTAGGAGACATTTCCTCGAAATAGATTGACGGGTTGGAGGCTACACCGCCCATTTGTACATTTTAAAGGCTTTGGATGTGTACTTTCCAGCTGCCCTTCAGGAAGATCTTGACCTTTTCAGTGACTTGAAGCAACATGGACCAGATCCAAGAAGACTGTCTCCTTAAAAGCGAGATGGCGCATATGCCAGCTGAGCGTGTCCCTGCCGGGCTGTCTTGGCAGGACTCCTGGAGGTGGTGGATGCTACCAAGCCCAGCCTTCCCTACCTGCCTGGGGTGCGGTTGGGCCCCTGACGATGGGGGGGTGAGTGGTCCATGAGCTGGAAGTGGTAGGAGGATATGAACCTGACCTCTGTCTCTGCTGGATGGGCTGGGGCAGAGTCTGCTTTGGGGAGATGGACAGTGACCTCAGGGGTGTGAGGCTGTCTCCAGGGAGAGAGTGTGCAGTGAGGGACACACCCAGGAGCTTCTTCGACCTGTGAGGAGAGCTGCAGAGTGGGTTTAAGTTCCAACCCTGACACTCTCAGCATTGTGATCGTCCCTAAAGCCACTTGAGTCTGAGCCTCTCGAGTGAGGAGATGGAACCAGCCCCACCTGAAGGTGTGCACTGAGCCCCTGCCAAGGTGTGCAGCATGTCCCCGCGTCAGCAAATTGGGACATACTCAGGTGTCCTGGGGAGGGTCCCACAGGCAAGGGAGAGAGGGTGTGCCTCCCTTCCCTGGGCTCTTGGACCCCCTCCCCGGCAACCTGTGTGGTGTGACATCAGCCGGCCTCCCTTGCAGCTCTCTGCCTCTTGTTTTCCAACCTGGGAGGTGTCAATGGCTTCGGGTGGCACCTGGAGTGGGTGGGGCACGCACACACCTTGGGCAGGCCAGCGCAGGAGTGGGTGTGGGTATCAGCAAGGACGCGTGTGAGTGTGAGGCTGTGCCTGAGTGTGGGAAGATGTGGAGTGAACGTGAGGGTGTGAGTGGATGAGTGTGCAGTGTACAGGGCGGGAGCTCTCGGGGGAGCCCCATTGCGGCGCTTGTTCCTCCCTGACCCCTGGCCTTTTCCTCTGCAGTTGGGACACGAGGCAGGGACCCTCTGCACTCTGGAACCTCGGACTTTGCCTCCATCTCCGTCTCTCCTTCCTCCAGGACAAAGGATACTGGAGACAAAACTGAAGAAGCTCTGGCTCCGTAAGTGTTTAGATCTGACACTGCCTCCTCCAAGGCCACTGCTCCCTTCTTGAGTGGGAAGTGGGGTAAGGGAGGGGGATACAGGGAGAACCGCCCAGATTAATAGCGCCAAGAATCATCAAGTATGATGTGAATGAGTACTGCTCACGTGGGGTGGTCCCAGGTCACCCCTCTGGGCAGCTGCAAGTGGAGGGTACTGGGGTCCCCACTGTAGCCCAAGGGGGCTCGGCTGGAGAGGTTGTGCCTGTCCCCCAGGAGGTGCGCAGGGCTACCCTGGCATTACCACCTAGTGGGGGTGGGTGATGGGGGAGTTGGGGGGGGACACTGGAAGGGACAGCGCTACTGGCCTCGTCATTGGCCAGAATTGTCACCTGCTCTCTTCTCCCCTGATTGCACAGGAGCCTGGGGGAGGATGCTGAGGAGAGGCCAGCGTGGGGATCTGGTGGGCTGCCCACGCGTGTCCTTCCTGCTGTCAGGGCATCAGGAGGCCCGCACTCTTCTCTTCCCAGTCCCACGCCTCCTGCACACTCCTCACCGCCTCCGGCAGGTGAAGCCACGCCCACCTCGTGACGCAACCAACACGACCACGCCCACCTCTCTAGCCTAGTCTCACTGGCTCCTGTCCCTGGGTGTTTTTCTGAGCTCTGGGCCACAGGGAAACTCTTCTGGGCTCTCAAATTCACTGCGCTCCGTCTTTGCACATGCTGTTCCCTCAGCTGGGCGCACGTGTTCCTTCTCTTGGCCAGGCTGAGGGTGTGTCATCTTCCAGTGGTCAGCGGGACACTGCCTCCCCAGGATGACTTTCTGGACCTGGGAGACCAGCCTAGGAGGCAGGCTGCAGTTCCCATCATTCCCCAGGTTGTGTTTATTGTTAATGGTCAGCCTCTCCCTCTAGGCTGGGAGCACTGGGCAGGGAAAGGACTGTCCACACCACTCACCACTGTTCCCTTGGTATCACATCATACCTGGCCCATGGTAGTTGCTTAGCCAATGTTTGATGAGTGAATAAATGAGCACACTTGTGAATTCAACCATTCCCTAGTGATTCTTCAGTTGAACTCCAGTTAAGCCACTTGCCTGGGATATATCCCAGTGTAACTGCTGTCCCCACCTAGGCACTCAGGGTGGACCAGCCTACTGAACAGGGCCCCTCCCAGCAGGTCCCATGTTGTCCAGAAGATGCTAATATTACTGTAGATTTGCCATCTGCATACTGTGTGCCCTTGGGCAAGTTGCACTCCCTCTCTGAGCTTCTGCTCAGATCTGGGATCATTGGCTGTCAGATCCAGTTCTGTGGAGCTCTCGTGCTCCAAGGAGATCTTTCAGACAGGGGAAGGGAGGGGATAGGATGTCAGACAGTCTCTCTGCTGCAACCAGAGTGGCTCTGCTTTGATCTCTCTCTCTCTCTCTCTCTCTCTCCTGCCCCCCGTGTCTCTGTCTTTTTTTATTTTTGTTTTTTTTTGATGCTGTTATGTAGCCCAGGCTGGCCTCAAACTCACGATCCTCTTGCCTCAGCCTCCTGAATGCTGGGATTACAGGTGTGAACCACCACAGCCTGCTTGTTCTATTTCTTGTCCTGGGGTTGACTTTAAGACTCCATTTGAAAAAGGGCTTGGCTGCTAAATTAACTGGGAGATGACTGAGTTTCAAAGCTGAGTCTCTGGAGCCCCTACTCCAGGGCAGAGCTTCTCCTCCAAATTCTTAGCTGGGCGACCTCGGGCAAATGACTGAACCTCTCTGTGCTCCAGGAACCTTGTCTGTGAAGTGGGAGCAGTCCTGCTGTCTGCCTCATAGGAGTGTTGTGAGGATAAGGTGTGGTAATACCAACAAAGCCCTTGGAATGCCACCCAGTGTTCAGTGACAGCTGGTGACAGCACAGAGAGGGGCTGGGGAGGCAGGAGAGCCCCGTGTGGGTGAGGCAGGGAAGTTGCCTGCTAGCAGCAGATTTTCACGGAAGGAAACTGCTCCTTCCAGTTGCTGCTGCTGGTCTGTGGAGGGCGGAGGGTGCTGCCCAGCCATGGTCAGACCCCCGAATTCCCCTGAGGACACCCTCTATGTCCAGACTCTCCCTGGGGCCCCGGCACCTGAAACCACAGGGTGAGTGGCTGCTAGGGAATTTGGGCCTCTTGGGAGAGGTGACCAGAGGCTCATCCAGGGCTTCCTGGACCCCCATGTCCCATGGAAACAGCACTGGGGGTGGGGGCTGTGAATGTGCTTTTACCTGCTTCCTCAGCGTGTATTCAGGGTTAGACAGGTTCTGTCACCTCCCATGCAGCTCCCAGGGTCCCAAGGCCCAGCCATGCTCGAGTCCTCCTCAGGCTGTGCTGGCTGAGATAGAATTTTCCACAGGGACACAGACCCAGCTTTGTGTCAGGAGCTGCCAGAAGCCAGGATGTCTGCCAGCAGCCAGGCCACCACCTACTTCACTGGACAGTGGTCTCCTACAGAGCGAGAAGACGCCCTCCTCCAGCAACTTAGCCTCTGGTGTCCTGCTCCTGCCCAATAAGACAGCAGGTGCCTGGCCAGTGCTCACCGACAGGTGTCCCTGCAGATCTGGACACTGGACACGGAAGGGAGGAAAAAAATCACTGCAGGCCATCAGAGCTGATGGGCCAGCCCTGGGTAGGGTGGCGGGCATGGTGGCTCCAGAGAGTGGCAGATACTGGCCCTCAGCTCACAGTTCTTGGGGTGTCTGCTGGCTGCGGAAGCTCGGGGTGGAGGGAACCAAGTCCAGAGAAAGTGTGAGGTCATCTGTGGAAGGAGGAAACACTTTCTGTGTGTTTCCTTCCTGACAAGGACAGCGGTGGCATGGAGCCCGCTTAAGCCTCGCTGTGTGCCAGACCCCGGTGCTGGACAGAGCCAAGTTCTCACCACTGCTGGGAAACAATGACACCTAGCACTTGTCTGTGCACAGAATGAGTGCATGTGACAGTGGCTCCTGTTGTTATTATCTGAGGGTGCCACTGCAGGACTGTCTGGAGTCACACAGCGTTAGGACGCTGTCACCCTCCTTCTCACAGTGACCCCCTTCTTCCAGACACTTCTCTCCCCCACAGCTGTGGTCCTTTACTTTCCTCTGCGGCATGTCTTGGCTTTTTGGCACCGAGAGTCTGATTCTCCCTGCGACCCCCATGGAGCCCAAAGTGCCATAAGGACCAGCTCTGCGCTCCTGGAGGCAGCCATGCCGGCTTGATTTGCTGCCTTTTTGAGATAAGTCACGTCAGTCACCAGCATCACATGACATTGTGGTGGCCCTCAGCTGAGCTCCACTAGATAATGATTTGCAGTCACAATGGGAGGACTGTTGCCAATGACTGGAAACAGGACCAGAATACGATGCTTCAAGGAGAGACGAAACACCAGTGCCTGAAAACCGAGACGACCGAGGGCCTAGGCGACCACCGGCTGAGCATTAGTCAATTGCTGTTTGAGGTTGCCTACTCGGAAGGACAAAATGACAGCACATTTAGTTTAAAGATATTAATTGGCTCTGTGATTCTAGAATTGGCAACACTTCATTCATAATAGGATGGGTGATCCAGGGGAGGGGAGCAGGAGAGGGTGGCTTTACAGACAGGAAAGGGCTAAATTGACAAAAGCAGATTGGGGGCCGGGGCTGTGGCTCAAGAAGAGCTTCCCTATCGTGTGGGTCTGAGCTCAAACCCCAGTACGACCAAAAAAGAAAGAAGATGGGTCATTTCAAAGAAACTTCCCTTATAAGGCAGAGACAGGGAGATGGACCAATAGAAAATGACCTGATTAAAACAGGCCTCTGCCAGGCACCAGTGGCGCACGCCTGTAATTTTGGGAGGCTGAGATCTGGAGGATCTAGCAAGGTTCAAGGCTAGCCCAGACAAATAGTCCTTGAGACCCTATCTCCAAAATAGCCAGAGCAAAATGGACTGGAGGTATGGCTCAAGTGGTAGAGCACCTGCTTTGGAAATGAAAAGCTCTGAGTTCAAACCCCAGTCCCACCAAGAAAACCCAAAAAAGAAAAAAGAACCCAAACAGGCTACTTCAATTACTTTTTTTTTTTTTTTTTGACGTTGGGGTCTCTCTATGTTGCCCAGGCTGGTCTTCAACTCCTGGGCTCAAGTGACCCTCCTACCTCAGCCTCCTGAGTGTCTGGACCACAGGTGAAGGTCACTATGCCTGGCTTCAAGTTACTTTTATTTTGGTAAAGACTACATCAGACAGAATTTTATTATCCATTGAAGTTGACTCTGTTTGGGGGCTGGCATGGTGGTACACACCTATAATCCCAGCAGAGGTAGGAGGAGCCTATGTGAGGCCAGCCCTGGCAAAAGCATGAGACCCTATTTGAAAAACAAACTAAAAGTGAAAGGACTGGGGTGTGACTCAAGTGGCAGAAGGCTTGGCAAGCACGAGGCCTGAGGTCATCGCTAGGATGGCAAAAAAAAGAAGAAGAAGAAGAAAAAAAGCAAATCTCTGTCTTTTATTATAAATGTTCCAGTGTCCAGCGTTCTGCAACAGCAGCAGAAGAAAGACACTGCTGTTTGTATGACAGGGCCTGGTGGGCCCTGCAGGACTGGATGCACAAACTCTGCCTCTTGATGCACAAGGGCTGGAGAGTGGAGCGAGGGTGTTGGGTGTGGAATGCCAGCAGCAGAGGAGGCAGGGAGGAGTGCAGAGAGAGGACTGGGATGGAGGCTGCTCAGTTATTTTTCCTTACTCAATATCCACACCCTTGTCTGCCTTGGCACTGAGCCTCCAGGCTTGGGCAGTGTCCCTGCCATGCCTGGATGACAGAGGATAGTGTGGCCATGGGGCAGTCACAGAGTCTTGTGCAGGAGAGCACTAGGGACAGCCCTGGAGGCCAGCTCAGTAGAGGCAAGGGATGCAGGGAGGATGGTCTGGGTGGAGACAAGCTGGGCCCTGGGTGTCAGGTGCCCAGGTGGGAGGGACCCTGTGGTTGTATAGCCAGGGACCTCGCTTGTGTCCCTGTGGCCGAGTGGAATATGAATCTGCACAGGGAGGTGGCATCCAGTGACACAGGGGTGTCATTGTGGAGACTTGCCCCACTCTCAAAAAGCTGGATTCAGCAGCTGCTGGATAAATGCCTTGAAGTCTTGGCTTGCTGTGGTCTTGGAACCCCCGCCATCTTCTCAGCCTGTTTCATGTTTGTGTGTTGAGTCAACGATCCAGCCAAATGGGTTTAAAGACATCTCTCTCAAAACTGTTGAGAGTGAGGGTCTTGCTGTGTACCTCAGTCTGACCTCAAACTCAGGATTCTCCTACCTCAGCCTCCCGATTATAAGATTATAGGCATGTACCTCCATGCCTGCCCTTTCTTCTTTGCCAGAGGACTCAGTTCTCAGAAACACCCCTTTGCCAGTTGATGGTCATAATAAGTGAGGGATGGCCTACACTGCCTGTCATAAAGCGTGGTCTCTCCCACGGGCCGGTGGAGGCGACTTCAGCCATCACTCACAGCCTGACTTGGGTGAGGCTGGCATGGGACAGTGCCATCTTCCCAATCTCATGTCCCTCGAGTTCTTAGCACAGAAGGAAAATGGGCTCCAGATCAGCCTCAGTATTCGCTTAAAAAGAACAAATTGTTAGCTGGTGTTTGAGATCTACTCTGCAGGGGTCATGGGTCAGTCAGTGTCGAACTTATGATTTTTGCTTATTTATTTATTTTTTTTTAGTGGGACTGAGGTTTGAACTCACACCTCCAGTCCATTTTGCTCTGGCTATTTTGGAGCACGAACTATTTGCCAGGGCTGGCCTTGAACCGCCATCCTCCTAATCTCAGCCTCCCAAGTAGCTAGGATTACAGATGGGAGCCACCAGTGCCTGCTGTGATTTCAGTTTATATGGCATTTTACTTAAGCAACTCCTTCCCCTTCACGTTTTCTTTTCTTTCTTTCTTTCTTCTTTATTTCTTTCTCTCTTTTTACTTCCCTCCCTCCCTCCTTCCTTCCTTTCTTTTTTCTTGCATTGTTGGGGCTTGAACTCAGGGCCTTCACCTTGAACCACTCCACCAGCCCTTTTATTGTGATGGGTTTTTTGATATAGGGTCTTGGGAACTATTTGCCTAATCTGGGTTTGAACTGTGATCCTCTTGATCTTTGCCTCCTGAGTAGCTAGGATTACAGGCGTGAGCCACCAGCACCCATCTCTTTCCTCTTTCCTTCCTCCCTTCCTCCCTCCCTTTCTTTCTCCTCCCCCTCCCTTTTTTTTTT